AAATGTTTTGGCCATCTAACCTGACTATTCATTTGTGATTGTTCTCACCCTATGTAGATGAGTGATCCATAAAGTTCAGATGTTTATTTAATTGGTTTTTCCTCAAGAAAACCTTTATTATTTAAAAATAATATATTTTTTAACAATTATATAACTTCTTAATAGCTTTCAAGGTATGTCAAATGTCACCCAAAAATAATAGATTTAATAACTCAATATTTGTGTAGACAAGCCTTAGACATTAAGGAGAGAGTACTGCTGCAATAGTGTATTTAATAATTTAAATGAACATTTAAATTATATGTAAATAAAGTACCCAGTCTTGAAGTTTAATAATTATGATAAGGTTAGTATTTTTAAATGTAGAAAAATAAAAATGTTTATGGTAATAAGATATTTTAACAAATTAATTCAAATGTATCACATTTGCCAAATTATTTCCATGTTTTAAACTGTTTGTACCCTTCTGAAGTAAAGGAAGGATGAGGAAAGGTGAAAGGAAGCCAATTCTGATAGGGTCAATATTCGTCATGAAAAGAAAAGAAAGCATCTTTTGATGAGGAACCAATACATGAATGCATCCGATGAAGTGAACTGTAGCTCATGAAAGCTTATGCTCAAATAAATTTGTTAGTCTCTAAAGTGCCACAAGGACTCCTTTTCTTTTTGCCAATACATGATACATACTCAGTGTCAGATTTTGCTGCCAGTAACAAAATCTGACGAGGCATTTTCTGATGCCACATAAAGCACATCAACTAGGTCTCCATGGTAGGAGGTGCAGCTGTCATTTTGAATCAAGGCCCAAACCTGCTAGCTGCCCCAGTGCAAGGCAGATGCTCCCAGCCATTGCAACAGTTACAGCAGAGTTACCCCTGAGAACAAGTAACAATTCGGACAGAAGTTAGGCTGACATAATGCTTTGCAGATAAATTTATACATTTTTGGGTCTGCATCCAGAGATAGCCCAGAGCAGAAGAGTAACAGCTTCCCCCAAAAGCCCTGCGTGCTAGCATGTCAATAGGAGATCTACGTCCATAAAGTGGAAGGAATTCAGAAAGAGAAATAAAAACTACTGAGATCTAATTGTTACTCCCCCATTAAAGAACAGACAGTGGGGTTGGGGAATAAGGAAATAAGGTCCCATTTGACTGGCTATCCCAGCCTCTGGACTGTACTCAGAAAGTTGGGGATGAATTACTCAATCTACATTTCATAATGACTAGATTATTACATAGTTGTGCTGGTGTTCAGAATAAATACCTATTTTATTGGTAAACCTAATGTACTCTGACATACATCTTTGTCCACATACAATAGGAACAGTAGTATAACATAATCCTATTAAGAAAGTGATTAGAGAATACTATGAGGGAAGATCAGAGCCTGAAAATATTTGAAAACCTTGTCTCGTCTTTCTGCATCACAAACACATTTATACATAATCAAAAGCATTTGCTAGCAGAACATAAAAATGTGTTTATACCAAAGCTGAGAACAAAAGAAAGTGGAGGATGCTATGCTAGGAGGCTACCATTGAAACAGTTTATCTTAAATGTAAGCAAAAAGTTATGATATTTCTCCCATGAACCATGTTACTCAGGAACAAGATGAACTGGGTTTTTTTTCCTTTTAGGTTTTCCCTTGTAGCCAAAACTTCATTGCTAACTCTGATTTATATCTGAATTTGTCCTTGAGTACTTCACATGTAGTGATCACTAGTCCAAATGATGTTTAAAAAACTACTAATCTATGCTTTCTGGTTCTCACACCAGAAGGACAATATCATAAAGCTTGCCTAACGCTAGGAAATATTGGACTCAATTTTCCACCAGTGGTTGCTACAGTGGAAGCAGTAGTGTAGAAAGGGCAAAAGTTCTCTTCCTATCACTGGTAGAGCTGCATTTTCGTGCTGTCACCAGTGTAGATTTAGACCTGGTCTACATACAGAGGTTAACTAAAGATGTGATTTTATACTCAGTTAAACCAGTACTATTGTGTGTTTGGATATTCATCACCATTTAAACCTGGGTTGTATCATTTACCTTGTGTTGGTAAGCGTACTGAGGTGCAAGCCAAACCAATAACTTGTTTTAAACCTTATATAAAAGAGTCTCCACATACAAAAGTTGCATTAGTTTAACCAACACAATGTAATTTAAACTAAGGCAATGTGTGTGTTTAGACAGTTTCTTAGAGGGCCAAATTTTCCCAGTGGAAATGCTCTGGGAAGAAATACCAAGTATGTCTTGATTAGAGTTGTGATCCTGTTGTAACTTCAGCTAGTTGGCAATAGATTAACACGTTTCTAAATGCTAATTTAGAAACTCCACAATAAATTTATTCCAGGACACGTACATTTTTGTTAGCTACTCTAGGAAGAAGTCAATGGTGCTATTCCAATTACACCAGATGAAGATCTGGCCCTCTATCTCTAATTCTGGGCCACCTAGCCTTACTCACTTCTCCGTCTGCCAATTTTTCCACTGTGCAGCAGCCAAAATGACCAATGTCATAGCTACATAACATTTAGAAATGTAAAAATCTGTCTTGTGCTGTTACTCTAAACACTGAAAACGATAGAAAGATAAGTACAATGGGCTAGTGGAGAACACAGGACACCACAAATGCCACATTGCTTCACTCTATTCCACAACAGTTTTCCATAGAGAACACACACTAATTTAGAGAAAGAAACACTATCAATGTGACAATCACATTTTTGTTTGAAAATGTTGTACTTATAGTTAAAAACATCTAAGATTTCTATGATAGGTTTCAGAGTAGCAATCGTGTTAGTCTGTATCTGCAAAAAGAAAAGGAGTATTTGTGGCACCACTGTTCCTCAGACGTTCTTGTCAACTGCTGGAAATGGCCCACCTTGATTATCACTACAAAAGGTCCCGTGTCCGCCCCCCCCTCCGCCCCCCCCCCGCTGGTAATAGCTCACCTTAAGTGATCACTCTGGTTAGTGTGTATGGTAAGACCCATTGTTTCATGTTCTCTATGTATATAAATCTCCCCCCTGTATTTTCCACTGAATGCATCCGATGAAGTGAGCTGTAGCTCATGAAATCTTATGCTCAAATAAATGTGTCTCTCTAAGGTGCCACAAGTACTCCTTTTCTTTTTAAGATTTCTATGACTGTCTAAAACAAGTTGGCAAAACAATGGACCGGACCATTTACTTTGTACATCACATGCTATGAAATGTCAGTTTCATTATTTCCCCCAAACAAACAGTATGCAAGGGAGAAACTCATTATAACGGTTAGTCAAATAGGGGAGCAAACAAATCAATCAATCAATCCTGAAAGTGTTTTTAAAGGAATTATTTCAAAAATATTCAGAACATGGTTTAAAGTTGTTTTTTTTTAATTTTCAACTTGGAAGTTTTGAAACTGACTAGTGTCCCTGTGACATTATTGACATAAACTATGACCATATAGATCATTGTTGCAACAACTGTTATATATTTGCAGCAAATATTGTACAAAGGTTGTCATGTGAGGTATCTATAAAAAGGTTATGCTTTGCTGGTTATGATTATGCTCTCTGTAGGTGTGTATCATTTTGTAGCTGAAGTTATGAATATTGGCTACGTACTGGTATCTCAATGTGTTTTGATTCTAAGTAGTCTCAGTGAAGCATTTGGTCAGCTTCTTGAGAAAGGACTATTCTCAGTAAGTGCCCAATCAAGGAACGCTTAACTGACAATGAACTTTGGGAGACGACAATCCACATCCGATGAAGTGAGCTGTAGCTCACAAAAGCTTATGCTCAAATAAATTGGTTAGTCTCTAAGGTGCCACAAGTCCTCCTTTTCTTCATGTAAACAATGGCATCGGCCTGCAAACTGAGTCATGAATGGACATGTGACTTGCCCATGTGACTCCAAGCACCATCTTGCTGCTGTGATTTTCCACAGTAAGAACAAAGAGGGATCCTTCCGGGCAGAGAATATAAAAGGCCCTCCATCTTGTCTTCAATGGACATCTTGTCTTCAATCCTGCCTCTGACCTCTGGAGGAACCTTGCTACAAACTGAAGCTCTGAACAAAGGGTTGAAAGACCCATCCCAGCTGTGGATGTACTCCAGAGACTTGATTTGAACCTGAAGTTTATTCCATCACTGCTACAAGCCTGAACCAAGAACTTTGTCATTACTGTATGTAATTGATTCCATTTAACCAATTTTAGCTCTCTTCTATATTTCTTTCCTTTTATGAATAAACCTTTATATTTTAGATTCTAAAGAATTAGCAATAGCGTGATTTGTGGGTAAGATCTGATGGGTATATTGATCTGGCTCTGGAGCTTGGTCCTTTGGGATTGGGAGAACCTTTTTTTACTGGGGTATTGGTTTTCATAACCATTCGTCCCCATAACGAGTGGCACTGGTGGTGATACCGGGAAACTGGAGTGTCTAAGGGAATTGCTTGTGTGACTTGTGGTTAGCCAGTGGGGGGAGACTGAAGTCCTCTCTGTTTGGCTGGTTTACCGTGCCTTAGAGGTGGAGAACCACCAGCCTGGGGCTGTGACTGCCCTGCTCTAAGCAATTTGTCCTGAATTGATACTCTTAGAAGTGTCCCACCAAAGGCAGCTTCGTTGCAGTCCCTTTAGTAATACTATATATAAAGTCAAGTGTATATCAATGAATGACAGGTGCAAGCTGGACAAAACAGGGTTAAGTGAGGTTCTAGTAAGCTCAGTGAGATGTTACAATAAAATTAAGTGAAGAATACATTTTGCCTTTTGTTGACAGAACAAGATTAAACCCCTAGATCACTTGCAGACTTCAACTGCTGATTGAAACGTTTTGACCAGAAGTGGTCTCCTATTGGGGACCATATGCAGTGGAGGGAGGAAAGAAATAGGCTACCAAAAACAACTCAGATGTGTTTTGTATGGTGCCCACCAATCTTAGCAAATAGGTCACTTGTATAGCATTTCCTGGGAGGAGCATCCACATGGGTAAGGACATGAAACCCCAAGCTGAAATAATAACTGAAAATGTCAAGGCTTTATTTTGCAACAGATATCTTACAAAGAGAAGATTTACTTTTATTGATATTCATGGCTGTGCAGTGCATCAGAGTTTTTCTATGGTGTCTCCTTCTCATTTAGTCATTTGTTCCTGTTCTTCAACTCAGAGGTAAAGATGCTAGCTGGAAATGCATGTATATTTAACACAGAGACAGATACTAAAATCATCACATTCAAGACCCAAAAATGGCTTCCAAATTTGTGGGTGCAGTTTTGCACTCACTATTAATTACTCCCATAAAGTGGAGGTCAGGTTGAAGTGACTTTAAAAGTTTGGTTCATAATATTAACTAACTCCATTCATCCTCACTTCTAGACGCTGCAGATTTGACATCATCACCTAGGAGCATCATCTAAGGTATTGTCTTGAGCACTTCCTGAAGGAGAGTTTTCTGCTTCAGAGGCAGGGCTATCAAGGAGAGGGATAGAGTCATCCATTTCCATGCTATGCTGCTTCTCCAGTTCGTAAGTTAGGCCAGAGTTCCCTTTGTCACTGACCTCTCCCTCCAACTTGTCTGCCAGTTTGTCCTGGGCCTGAGCTGCCTCCTCAGAATCTTCCTTTTGGTGCAGAAAACTACAAATCATATTAGGTCTGCTGTATGAGAAATCTTTGTCTTTAATCTGTAACCACTCCACACCACCTGGTCAGAAAAAAGATAAACTAGTGAAACGGGGAGGAGAGATTTTAACAGCAAGATGACATTTTCTTAGTTTCACGAGTTCATTGTTTTAGCCTTAAACAATAACTAGAAATATGCAATAATGTTATGTTTGAGAAAAAACAACATTATATATGAGGTGGTGTGTGCCATAAGCTTCTGCTACAAAGAGACTTGAGGGAAAGAAAGGAAACTGCCTGTGACCCATTTTCCAAACCGGAAACAGTAAAATCCCTCCCAAATGTCCTTACTTCCTTCTGCTGCATAAGACGGACCTATTTTCACTATGATCCTCACATGCTGAAGTGAGGAGAAAAATTCTTAGTTAAGACAAATAGCAGCTTAAGTTTCACTGTCTTGAAGCAATACAGCATAAAACTCTGAGGGGTAGAAGGTTTGTTTGCTTGCTTATACTGGTTTATGTCTCCAATATAACATTTTTTGTCTAAGAACTGAGGGAGGGTCTTCAGAATCCCCATCATATAGATGATTTCTAATCAGCCATTTTCATTTGCTTTGCACTTGAGAGCTAATTATCAGAACTATTGTTCTTCTAGCTGAGCAGTGCCCCCAACAAGCTCTTAGCTCTACTGCTTCTTCAAATCAGCCAGTGTTTCCTATTAGGAGACTCAACACCTGTCCACCTCCAACACACAAGCTACTGCTGCTGACTCCTGAGTATTTTCAACCTAGGAAGGTACCAAGAATCGAGATATGGTCTCCCATGTGCTGTGTAAAACATAGAATCATAGAATATCAGGGTTGGAAGGGACCTCAGGAGGTCATCTAGTCCAACTCAAAGCAGGACCGATCCCCAATTAAATCATCCCAGCCAGGGCTTTGTCAAGCCTGACCTTAAAAACTTCTAAGGAAGGAGATTCTACCACCTCCCTAGGTAACGCATTCCAGTGTTTCACCACCCTCCTAGTGAAAAAGTTTTTCCTAATATCCAACCTAAACCTCCCCCACTGCAACTTGAGACCATTACTCCTTGTCCTGTCCTCTTCTACATAACTATTACACCACCAGCTAAACCTATTACATTTCTAAAATTTGGCAATATATGAATTTTTATGGTACTTATTGCTGTCACAAACGGGGTCACTCAATTACAGTACACTCCAAGAGATTAAAACCAAAATACATCAAAACAAAGAGGGCTGCTTAATGGGTATGCCTTCTGTTGATTTACTGGCATTTGAGTTTTGTGTGCGTGTCTCATGCTGGTTCTGTTTGTTCACCTAATAGCTTTTCATTCTTCCACAGCAGTGATACATAAAAATAAATGGTACAAAGTTGTAAAGGTCAACATTTCCTTGCCTAATCCAAAAGAATGACTGGGATGGGAATGACATCTTTCAAGAATGTAGATCTTTATCTTTGGGCTGAGTCCCACCATACATTCAGGAGTTGAGGCCACTAGTTTTTGTGGTTGTTGAGGTTTCCCTGAAAGCTAGGGCTGTGTCTTGGTTAACTAAGTCTAAGTGTGTCTGAGATAACTAAAAACTATTATTTAACAAGATAATCCTTTTCCAATTCCTATTTATCTTAGAATCAGTACATTTATATGCTGACAGAAAATTCCACTTGCATTATAAATACTGGGAGGGGGAAATCCTTTTCATTCAAAGGTTGGTTTCCCAATTATTTATAATACCAGTGAAATAGTGGATCACACAGACATTAGTTTACTATTCTTCAGTATTTATTTTGTACTGTGCCAACACTGTTGTATCTAGGTGCCACACAGCACCTATGCAAGTTCCAAAACAGTTTCCATACGACTCAAGATGCTAAGAATATATTTTACTGATGCAGAATGGAGACTATCATGTTAATTTAAGTTTAGACTATCAAATAACTTGATGGAACATGGCACCTGAAAACATCTAAGAATGACTATGAATGAAAAGTGGTACCGCAGGTCTGTAGACCAGTTTATTAAAAACAAATACAGATTACTAATGGAACTGGTATTTCTTCCCTCATGTAAGTATGCTCTTTAGAAGTCACACATGCTCAATATACAGTAATCAAAATGTGTCAAGTGCTGAATGTATGAGCATTGAGTGTTTGTCATGTGCAAGCATTGAATTGCTTGTGAGGAAGCTTGAGAGTTCAATTAGAACATTTCCTACAGTGGCATTGTTTTAATTAAGCAACCCACCTGCCACTAACTTTTAAAATGAATGATTTCTTAATAAATCAATAGGTAGTATTAGGTGGGGAAAGGAAATGTTACATCTTATGGGTAAAAGTCATCCCATCTGTGATCAGATCTTCACATCTAGATCGCTCACAAGATGACTTTTTAATACCATAAAATGTAATCTTCCAGCAGAATATGTATAAATTTAGCATAAAATGGCTCTTTATTCCTAACCCTGTGTATGAGCAAAATAGCAGGAACAATTGGGAATAAGACATTGCTAGGAGCAGTATTACTGTAAATATCTAAATACAGAAACAGCATTGACTTCCGGCCTAGAGATGAAAGGCAAAATTTAACCCTGGTGTGAAATGGTACAACGACATTGAAGCAAGTGCACCAGAACTTAATTTGCCTACAGAAATGCATATAAAAATGGAAAGTAGTTTGGCCAAAATCACAAGAAACTTTACAAATAGCTATCATTTTTTAGTTCAGTTAATTTGTTTATATACGATGTTGTTGTTTAAGAACGGAAAGCTTGTATCCTTTAATTCCCTGGATACTTATTGGCACTAAATGGTCAAACTAATTTTTGTCTCCAGCCTGGTATCAAAGATAAGGTTTAGTCCTAGGACGACCTCACATGTTCCCACATACAAGACCAGGTGCACTAACCTACGCTCTCTTCTCCTTCCTTCTTTTCAGTCAGAAGCGTCCGTGTCATGTTCAGCTTCTTCATTGTGTGGCACTTGTATTTCAGCTGTAGCTTTTGGTTTCCTTCTGCGTCCACTATAAATAAAAATTAATTGATTCATTTTAGTGAACATCCACATCATCTGAAACATGAAAATTATCTGAACCTTACAGCGTCAGCTCAGATACAAGCCAGAACATAAAAGATGTATCACTTACCTTGTTCTGCATTTTCTTCAAACACTACACAGGTTCCAAGGGTATCTATGGAGAACAAAGGACAGTTAGCTGAGAAATAACAGAGGTTATTTGCCAAAGGCCCAGTACTTCAAAAACCTGAGTGCTCTCCACCTCCACTGAAGTCAATGGAAATTGAGGATGATCAGTATCTCTCATGATTGGGCCCTGTATGTCACACTGAAAATGAGCAGTTTCATCCATATAATCTTTTCCTACCTTCATACTCCCCAGCAAAGACATATCTGTCCACTTGCAAAATGGGCCTCTCTGTGTCTATTCCCTAAAAACAAGGATAGACAGAAATTACATGGAAGTCATGCTTCAGCTAGTCAAGGCAAGGCACCAAGACTAGAGAAAACAACTGGTAAACTGGTATGCCAAGTACAGTAAAACCAGCATTATATACAGATTCCCTGACATGGTATATGCAGTACAAGACAAAAAAGCAATATGGAATGCAAGCTAGCGATAGTAAATCAAGTCTATTCTATCACACTGAGATTAATATGGGGAGAAAAACGAACATACACAAACAAAGGAAACTTTCTTTTCAGTGTATAGATTCAAAAGCTTCCTAAACTGTGAGATTTAGATGAAACAGATATACAGTATATCTCGGAAAATTAGGTAAGCAAATGAGAAAGGTGTGCAGGAGACAAAAAGGTTGCATGAGTACACAAACACCTAAACAACACGCAGGCACATCAGCAGTCCAATGGCAGCGGTAGGAAGCTATTATTTATATTATTTAACAAGCAGCTCTCTGAAAATAAAGGGACACCGTCAATTTAACATCAAGCAAATTTCTAAAAGTGAGTTAAAAATGGTTTCCAGGACTAGCCCTGCTTCTGTTTCCTTCTACAGGTTTCTGTGGTTTTACAATCACTTTCCCCTATTTTTAAAGTGTTTTTTTTCTCCCATTTCTGTGAGCGTGTCTCACAATCAACAAGGAAGTGACTATACAAAAGAAATAGTGAACCTGACTACACACAAAATGCTGTGAAACAAAGTAAACAAACAGAAATATTTTGGGGGTGATAACTTCTTTCAATCAGAGTAACTTTAGATGTTATATTAATTATACTTGGTACATGATTTTAAGACAAACACTATTTTCCAGTTGATGATGTCCCACTGAGTTGACTGAATCCTTTTAAAAAGTCTTTGACCTGGAAAAGGCTACAGCATGTTGAGGGAAGAGGCAGTTGCAAGAAGTCCAAAGGAGCATAAACTAACCTGTATCCAATCTCCTATTTATTAATAGCTTTTCAAAAGCACTTTATGTAATTGCCTCAGGGAAAACAGTATTTTAACTCAGAGTTTTATATTACTAAATTTACTTGCATGGAAAATAAATGATTCCCTAAGGGACAAAACCTTTTCAGGGCTGCATACTGGGGGATTTCTGTGTGGACAAGAGGGTGGAAGAAATCCTTACTCTGACTGCAGTTCAGTACAAAATCTATTTCATTGCCATTAATGCAACTTCAGGTTTACAATAGCTTCTGTGGCTCCTGTACATTCATTTTGGGAGTGTATTTTTTGGGTTGGGGAGGCATGGTTTGGAGGGGGGGTGGGCAGAGACGGCCAGAGGATTTACTGAGTATACGCCTTCCTAAAGCCCAGTTGCATGCAGGGATGCTGGAAGTCCCTTCTGAACATAGCCTTGCAGCATAGAGGTTGGAACCCTTGCATGAGGTTCCAAAATCCTGCTCTCCCTTTTGCAACAGAACCTTATAAGTTGTGCTGGCTCTGAGCCCTTCCAACTACACAGGGCATAGGGACAAGATTTATAATCTAACAGGTTATTGGTTCTTCCTGCTTATTCTTCATACAGAATCACAATCCTCAGTTTGTAATATCAGTCCTCTCCACACAACCCAATTATGATGTCACAAATTAAGGAAGACATCAGAGGGAGAATCAGTTCCAAGATCAGAAGAACTCTTAATGGTGAATCGAAATACTTTAAGTACACATAAAAATTAATTTTCTGAATCACTATCAGAACACAAGCAACCTTAAAACTGAAAAAACAACAGAAGCTCACGTATTCTCACTTCATAAGCCTGAAATGTTCTCAGAAAAAACACTACTCCATGTGACGCTGTATGGAATATGGGAGACACTTTATGATATTGTTCATACCAATATTGTAAAATTCTAAGGAATCTTAATATCTTACCAGATATGCCATGTGAAAATGTTATGCTTTGCCAAGTATGATAATCTCATTTATATGTTTGATTCACCTTTTATTGTGAGTTATACGATATGTATGGTATATCTGTGTATTTCTAGGTGACACTCCCAGACATCAGCATTGCTCACCTGTTCGATGGCCCATCAGGATCATCAGCTATACAAAGAACCCACTGAAAGGAGCCAGGGGCTACACCTTCTGAGTCAGCAGGACGAGTAGGGGCATGCCTATAGATAGAGAACTTTAAGGCTTTTCCATGCCTTGTGCTGTGAAGCTTGAGTTTGGGACACAGGAAGTACAAGCCAGATGGCAAAAGGAATATAAAGGGCAGCTGCATCATCTCCATGTTGTATTAATTTCTGCTTCTTACTTCTGGAGTAACTTTTCTACAAACGAAGTTCTGAACAAAGGACTGAATGACCCATCCTGGAATACTGAGCCTGATACTAAGAACCTGATATATGGACTTTGAAGTCTCTGTATTTATCTGATTGCTTTACCATTTAACAAATCTCTTCTTGTTCTTTCTTTTTTCCTTATAATAAACCTTTAGTTTTAGACACTAAAGGATAGACTAGCAGCATGGTATTTTAGGTAAGATCCAAAATAACATTAACCTGGTGATGTGGCTGACCCTTTGGGGTCAGAAGAACATTTTGTATAGTGAGCAGAGTTTTTAAATAACTTCTCACTGTACTGGATCTAGGAGCTGATTGGGAATCAGAGAACTGGAATGCAATAAAGGGAGCTGTGTGACTTCTTTTTTTTTAGCTTCTCAATAACCAGCGTTGGGGATCAGAAGTTTTGTGACTGGTTGGTGAGTTTAACTTCAGTGTTAACCACCAGTTTGGGAGTGTCTGCTCTCCCTTACGCAGCCTCCTCTGACCTTGACATTTTCAGTAAGGGCTGCCCCAGGCACACCGAGTCACACTCCATTTCTTAGCAAAGATTCAAAACTGGGTGTCTCATTAGTAACTACAGCGGACCCCTGCTATAGCACGCATCACTATAGCGCGGATTCGCATATAGCGCTGTCGCAGTGATTTAAATTGGGATCCATGGTAACGCGGCCCCCACTATAACGCGGTACCGCGCATGGATCCCGAACCCTGCGTTCTAGCGAGGATCCAGTGTAGTACTATAGTGATGCCTCATTACTGATATTTCATTATTTTTCCTAGTATACTGTGAAGTATAATTAAAATTAAACTATGCTTAAAATAAATACTTGAACAAAGCATATTTGTTGTAATGTACTGACCTTGATAGATACAATTATATTTGTTTGGCCTCATCAGTGAGACTATTCAGGTGTGTAAAGTTAAGTTACTTGTTTGTGAGATGAGGGCCTTTCATGTTAATTTTGTAAAATCCACAGTGGGTAGCACAGTTGTTAATACAAATTAATGAGATTCTCTCACAAATATTTCCAAAAAGTAACTTTTAAAAAAAAGTCTTCTGAGGCTAAGCTTGGGGTTTTGTTTTTCCTGCTAAAACTGATAACATCAAAGTAGGATACAAAATGTAGATCCCTGTACTACTGTATAAGATACAAAAACTGGAAAAGTTTAGTAGTGTCAGGCAGTAGGCTCTGGCGGCTGTGATTGCAGAGCCATTGGCCATTATCTTTGAAAACTCGTGGCGAACCGGGGAAGTCCCGGATGACTGGAAAAAGGCTAATGTAGTGCCAATCTTTAAAAAAGGGAAGAAGGAGGATCCTGGGAACTACAGGCCAGTCAGCCTCACCTCAGTCCCTGGAAAAATCATGGAGCAGGTCCTCAAAGAATCAATCCTGAAGCACTTGCATGAGAGGAAGGTGATCAGGAACAGCCAGCATGGATTCACCAAGGGAAGGTCATGCCTGACTAATCTAATCGCCTTCTATGATGAGATTACTGGTTCTGTGGATGAAGGGAAAGCAGTGGATGTATTGTTTCTTGACTTTAGCAAAGCTTTTGACACGGTCTCCCACAGTATTCTTGTCAGCAAGTTAAGGAAGTATGGGCTGGATGAATGCACTACAAGGTGGGTAGAAAGCTGGCTAGATTGTCGGGCTCAACGGGTAGTTATCAATGGCTCCATGTCTAGTTGGCAGCTGGTATCAAGTGGAGTGCCCCAAGGGTCGGTCCTGGGGCCGGTTTTGTTCAATATCTTCATAAACGATCTGGAGGATGGTGTGGATTGCACTCTCAGCAAATTTGCGGATGATACTAAACTGGGAGGAGTGGTAGATACGCTGGAGGGGAGGGATAGGATACAGAAGGACCTAGACAAATTGGAGGATTGGGCCAAAAGAAATCTGATGAGGTTCAATAAGGATAAGTGCAGGGTCCTGCACTTAGGACGGAAGAACCCAATGCACAGCTACAGACTAGGGACCGAATGGCTAGGCAGCAGTTCTGCGGAAAAGGACCTAGGGGTGACAGTGGACGAGAAGCTGGATATGAGTCAGCAGTGTGCCCTTGTTGCCAAGAAGGCCAATGGCATTTTGGGATGTATAAGTAGGGGCATAGCGAGCAGATCGAGGGACGTGATCGTTCCCCTCTATTTGACATTGGTGAGGCCTCATCTGGAGTACTGTGTCCAGTTTTGGGCCCCACACTTCAAGAAGGATGTGGATAAATTGGAGAGAGTCCAGCGAAGGGCAACAAAAATGATTAGGGGTCTGGAACACATGAGTTATGAGGAGAGGCTGAGGGAGCTGGGATTGTTTAGCCTGCAGAAGAGAAGAATGAGGGGGGATTTGATAGCTGCTTTCAACTACCTGAAAGGGGGTTCCAAAGAGGATGGCTCTAGACTGTTCTCAATGGTAGCAGATGACAGAACGAGGAGTAATGGTCTCAAGCTGCAGTGGGGGAGGTTTAGATTGGATATTAGGAAAAACTTTTTCACTAAGAGGGTGGTGAAACACTGGAATGCGTTACCTAGGGAGGTGGTGGAATCTCCTTCCTTAGAGGTTTTTAAGGTCAGGCTTGACAAAGCCCTGGCTGGGATGATTTAACTGGGAATTGGTCCTGCTTCGAGCAGGGGGGTTGGACTGGATGACCTTCTGGGGTCCCTTCCAACCCTTATATTCTATGATTCTATGACAAGAGTAAATGGTTTTCACTATTTAAAAATACTGTGTTTGTTTGTGTGGTTTAAGTCACTTGGGTGTTTTTGAAAGTTATACCCTAAGTTTTGCATAACAGTATATTCACAGGCCAAAGGGAACTTTTGATATGCATTCACATTGCCCACTGATGCTAATTGCTCTGTGCACAGACCATGGGCAGTTTATCGCTCATATAATCTGCATATTTCTACACTAAAAGTTTGATCCAAAGCCCACTGAGTTCAATGAGGCTCTAAAATTTCTCCTTGTTCACGAAAATAAAAACTTGCCTCTTTACTAATATGTTGTAGTCAAACTCACCAAAATCTTGCATTTGTTTTCACATTTTTCTAGGAAGTCTGAATCAATAATTCCTGATAATTCTACCACGACCAGCTGTTCCTGCAACATAAACGTATAAAGCTCATTCATCATATATTTAGAACACTAAATAAATGAACAACTTTAACATGAACACAGATACGTCTATTACTTTGCTATTAAAACAGACCTCCCTCAAAACTGTAGAACCAAAATTTGACCTATATTGTTTGTTTGCAAAACAACACAAAGATATTGCTATACCAGAGCAAAGTAATATCCAACTAGTACACAGTTCTGTCCATGTCACCAAAACCACAACTGAATTTGAAGGCTGTTTGTATTCGACCTCAGATAATGTTCAGTTTATACCTGGAAGAATAAGGACCGACAGCTCTTATAATTTTATGCTAGCTAGCGTAACAGCACATATTATACTTATTCATATTTTTAATTAAATCTTACAATGCTTCAACATTTACCAATTATAGACTGTAGCGTGAATTCTATAGGTTAATTATAAAGTTTAATTTTTTCTCCTATCTATTTACAATGTGTTTCCATTTAATTTGTTCTTGTAATTCCTTAATTTGAGGGGATGGGGAGTATAGGAGGAGAAAATGGTGTTGACAGATCTTTGCCAGTCTTTTTCTGAAGATAAGAGATAGATGCCCATTTTCCATGACCAATCTTATAATAATCATCAGTGAACACACAATTTAATTTTAAAAGTGTGGCAAAGGAAATATTGCAAGTTTGATTTTACAGCTTACGAGTAGCTATTACTCTTTTTTTTAAGGTTATGGTAAAATAATGTGACAGTATCAGTATTATTTTCAAAGTTCTTCCTCCTATATAATACAGTAAAGTCTCTTTTCTAGTTTCAGTTGTCTACATGTAACTATCTGACTTTGCCATCACAGTCCTCTGCTATCACAAAAATAAACATCTCAAATAAAAACCAGCTTTGTTATAATTGGAAGATTTTTAAAACATGACTCCATTGGAGAGGCAATGCAGTGCAATGGATAAAAGTTCCAAATGGACTTGGGAGACTTGAGTTCTACTTCGCTTTCCACCACTAACTTTCTGTGACCTTGGGCAGTCATTTCACCTCACTGTACCTCAGTTTCCCCTTCCACCCTTGGAGTATCTTGTCTATTTAGAATGTAACCTTTTTGGGAGAGGGACCATCTTGTATGTTTGTATAGTGCCTATCACAACTGGGACCTGATATCAGTTGTGCACTGTAGGTATTACCCTAATACAAACAACACCAGTTCCAGTATCCTGTGTGAAATGAACTGGTGTCAGTCCACTTCCTAGCTGATTGGTGTCCACATTATGAAAGCCACTATCATAACCTGCATTCTTCTGGAGCGTCAAAGGCCTGCTGCTCTACATGTTACCATCTGTAAACAATCATAAGTATGCTCATAAAACTTGCAGATGATACCGAGCTAGGAGGGCTTGCAATCACTTTGGAGAATAGGCTAGGCTACGCTAAGAATTCAAAATTACCTTGACAAATTGCAGAATTAATCTGAAATTAGTAAAATGAAATTAAATAAAGACAAATGAAAAGTATTGCACTTAAGAAGAAAAAATCAAATGCACAACTACAAAATGGGAAATAACTGGGTAGGCAGTAGTACTGCTGAAAACGGTTTGGGGATTACAATGGATCACAAACTGAATGAGAGCCAACTATGTGTTGCAGTTGCAAAAAAAGGCTAATGTTCTGAGGTGTATTAACAGGAGTTTCACACGTAGGATACAGGAGGTATCTGTCCCTCTCTACTTGGCAAGAGTGACCTGGCCTCAGCTGGAATATTTGTATCCAGTTCTGAGCACCACACTTCAAGAAAGATAGGGATAAATTGGAGAGAGTCAAGGTGAAAGCAACAACAATGTAAAAGGTTTAGAAAACTTGACCTATGAGGAAAGGTTAAGAAAACTGTACATGTTTACTCTAGGGGGAAAAAAAAGGGGGGGGGGGGAGATCCTGATAAGTCTTCTGCTGTATCTCACAAAAGCTTATGGTCTAATAAATTTGTTAGTCTCTAAAGTGCCACAAGTCCTCCTTTTCTTTTTACGGATACAGACTAGCACGGCTGCTACTCTGAAACCTACAAGGGGACAGTGATCGATTGTTCTCCATGTCCACTTAAGGTAAGGTGAGAAATAATGGGCTTAATCAGCAGCAAATGAAATGTAGGTTAGCTAGTAGGAAAAATTTTCGAATGACAAGACTAGTTAATTTCTAGAATAGGCTTCCAAAGGAATATGTGAAATCTCCATCAGCAGAGGCTTTTAAGAACAGATTGGACACACATCTGTGAGGGAAGGTCTAGGTTTACTTGGTGTTATCTCAGCACATGGGGCTGGACTAGATCAGGGTTCTCAACCTTTTTCTCTCTGAGGCCTCCCTCGACATGCTATAAAAACTCTAGGGCCCAGCGGTGGCGGGGGCTGGAGGGGAGGGGTCTCGGGGCAGGGGCCTTGGGCATAGGCATAGTTTGACTTCTATTTTGGGGAGTGGGCAGGGGCCAGCGGGGCTCAAGCCACCTCCACATGGTGGGGTACAGGGATGGAGTGCAACCTCCATCCCCTGACTCATCTCAGCAGGCCACACAGCCTGTCTGGGTTGAGAGGGGGCGGGGAAGCAACCAAAAATTATAACTCAAAGGTGGAGGGCTTAGCTCAAAAAGTTTGAAAACAGCTTAGGGTGCAGGAAGGGGGTAGCTGGGGCTGTGTGCCCACAGGGGGTGGCTGTGTGGGTGCATGGAGGGGGTGGCTAGGGGCTGGGTGCAGGAAGGGGATAGCTCAGGGTGCAGAGAGACGGGTACTAGGGACTGTATGCAGGCAAGGCGATAGCTCAGTGCAGAGAGAGGAGTGTTAGGGGCTGTGTGCAGGCAGGGGATAGCTCAGGGTCAGGGAGGGCGTAGATCAGGGTGTAGGGAGAGGGGTATTAGGGGCTGTGTGCTGTGAGGACTCCCCTATGATCCCTGTTCCCAGAGGGGTCTGCCAGCCATGGAGCAGGGTCTCCCCATCTGGGTGGGCTCTTACCGGCTGCTTCTTTGGGAGCAAACAGGGCTGGGAGCTGAGAAGCAGCTTCAACCTGGGGCACCAGCAGGAGAGGAGGGAACGCTGCCGCTGCCTGCTCCATGGCACCAGCGAGGGCTCCAGCTTCCTGCCTCCGACCTGGCCAGGGAGAAGAGATGTGGGGGAGGAGGGGAGCTGCCCCCAGGGCTGCCATGCTCTTGTGCTACAGTTTATTATTTTTTTGGGAAGGGGAGCAATGCCCTCCATGTCTCCAACTCTGCCCATGGGCTCAGGGCTTCTGCCGCACAGGGAGTACCAGGGCTCGGGGCTCCAGGATTCAGCCCCACACCTCCCAGGTTCAGTCCCGTGGGGGAAATGGGGGGCACGGGGCACCAGGGATTGGGGCTTCAGCTGCAGGGCTCCACAGCCTCCTTGAAAGAGCTTGCAGGCTCCCAGGGGCTGTGGACCCCTGGTTGAGAACCGCTGGACTCGCTGACCCCTCAGGGTCTCTTCCAGCCGTACAATTCTATGAGTCTGTGCTAACTGCTACAGTAGCAGATACATAGGATATTCCTGAGGGCATTCTGTGCCAAAAAAATTAAAAATTATGTGCATAATATTTTAAAATTCTGCAAGTTTTATTTGTCAATAAATAAATGCAGAGGCTCCAGCATGGCAGTGGGGATCACAGGCCACTGGCTACACAAAGGTGGGAGATCACCTGCAGCCTCCCCACGCCCAGGACACGGACTCAGCGGTGAGGCTACACCCGACCCTGCCACACCATAAGGCCCAGGTCTGCCCCAGAAACACCCTAGAACCCTGCTCTTCTGCACCAGCTGTGGGGCAGGCAGGATCCAAGTGTGGAGGGACTCAGTGTGAGGGGATTCAGGTGTGGGGGAGAGGGTGGTGTGTGGGACAATCTGGGTGCAGGCAGCTCAGTGGGGAGGATGTGGATGCAGAGGTTCGTGGCGGGGGCGGGGTCCTAGGTGTAGAGGCAATAGCAGTGATGAGCTGGAGCCGGTTCGCACGAACCGGTTGTTAAATTCTGAAGCAGTTTTAGAACCGGTTGTTAACCCGCTTCTCTGCAGGGGGTGCTGAGGCTTTGATGGGCTCCGGCCCGGAAGTGATGTAATTCCTCCTCCGGCCGCCGGGGGCGCTGCGCTGCGGGAGCCATGTGGGCTGCCGCCTGGCCCTGGGCATGAGCCCTGTTGCTGCTGCTGCTCCCCCGACCCCTGGCCCTGGGGCTCCCGATGCTGCCTGGTGGGTCCCCGGCTGCTCTGCTGGGCCTGGGCTGCGTCCTGCTGCTCGGGCTTCTCCAAGCCATTCTCCCCGTGAGTACCCACCACCCTGCCTGCAGCCAGCCCTTGTCTCCAGCTACCCCCGCACCCCCTGCCCTGCCCGCAGCCAGCCTGTCTCCAAGCACCCCCGCACCCCCAGTCTGCAGCCAGCCCCTGCCGCACCCCCTACCCTGCCCGCAGCCAGCCCATCTCCAGCCACCCCTGCACCCCCACCCGCAGCCAGCCCCTGCCGCACCCCCTGCCCTGCCCGCAGCCAGCCCCTGCCGCACCCCCCCAACCCGAAGCTAGCCAGCCCCACACCCCCTGTCTCCAGCCAACCCCTGCCACATCCCCCTGCAGCCCTGCCCGAAGCCAGCCAGCCCCACACCCCGTCTCCAGCCAGCCCTGCACCACCCTGCCCTGCCTCCAGCCAGCCCCACACCCCTTGCCTGCAGCCAGCCCCGCATTCCCCTCCCCTGCCTGCAGCCAGCCCCGCATCCCCTGTCTCCAGCTAGCCCAGTCCCACGCTGCTGTCTGCAGCTGGCCCCACGCCCACTGGTGCCCTGCAGTTCCCAGGGCAGTAACCATGCACACCTGCTTCAATGAGGGGGGCAGGGAGCAGCTGGGACCCACACATGTGCACACCCTCGGGTGACCAGACAGCAAGTGTGAAAAATCAGGACAGGGGGTGGGGGGTAATAGGAGCCTATATAAGAAAAAGACCCCAAAATCGGGACATCTGGTCACCCTAGCACACCCCCAGGGAGTGGCAGGGACCCACACATATGAAACAGAGCTCATTTCTAGTTCAGGCCCATCTTTTTAAAAAAGAACTTTAGGTAGGATTAACATACATCTGTATTTTCCCAGACATGTCAGGCTTTTTGGTTCTTAAATTGCTGTCTGGGAGGAATTTTTAATATTTTCCTGGGAAAATATGGATGTATGGTAACCTTATTGGTACAAAAAATACATACAAATCAGAACTTTTTATAGGGAACTGGTTGTTAAGATTTTGGCAGCTCATCACTGGGCAATAGGACTCTGCAGGGGCTTCGAGCTGAAGGCGGCTGGGGCTCAGAGGAGGGGTCTGGGTGTGGGGGTCTCAGCGGTGTGGGCGTCTGGATGCTGGGGGAGTGGGACTTGGTCGGGTGGTATTCAGTCTCAGTTCCAACACATTGCAGGCCATGCCAGTGAGAGCCAGGATTGAAGGACAGGGAGCATGACTGCCCCCTTGCCCTGGGGTGGGGGCACAGCCACAGCCTGCCCAATTTGGTGCAAATATTGCGGGAAAATAGGAATGAGGGCTCTCCTCCCCCCCACCCTCTGTCACTGACTCCTCTCTCTCCCGTCGTGTCCAGCCCCGCTTCCAGCCTAGTCAGACACCCACCCTGCCACACCCTCCAGGGGCCAGCCCCGCCCGGGAGCTCCGCTGCCATACAGCAGGCGTGCAACAATGGGAGGGAGCGCCGGGGACCGTAGCCTCGGGCTGTCCTACGCGAGCCCCCAGGGGCAGCCAAACACCGCCCCCCACCACCACTAATCAGGCCGGGCAGCAGCAAGGAGCCTGAGCACAGACGCAGACACCTGATACCTGCGCCGCTGCTAGGGACTCCTACCCACCTGCTCCTCCTCTTCCTCCTCAGCTCCCACCGCCGCCGCCATGTCCCGGATCCCGCTGCGAGCCAGCGCCTCAGCGCCCACTACGTGACCCTGCCGCCGCCATCTTAGATTCGGAAAGGCCCCACCCCCGACGGCTCAGATCGGGGCGGGGGGCCCGGAGCGGCGAAGTCCTGCTCCAGCCGCTTGCTAGGGCGGGGAACGGGCTGCAGGGCGCGCGGAGGGAGGGAGGCGGTTTGCTGGGGGGTTTCCTCCGGCCCCAGGGTCATAGGGCCGCCCGCGGGGAGATTCCAAACGCCCCCTAGCTCCCGCCACAGGGCTCGGGCCCCGGGGCGGGGCCGGGGTAGCGCTTGGCAAACGGTAACGGGCGCCGCGCAGCCCCGGGCCCGAGAGGCCCAGTGGGCGCAGGGGGCTGGCGGGGCAGTGAGAGGGCTGGGCCAGGCCGGCGGGAGCGGTGAGTTCTTGGCCCGCGGAGGGGAAGCGGCTGCCCGGCGAGCGTGGCTTGGAGGGAGGGGGGATCGCGGACTGTGGTGGGGGAGGGGGTGAGAGGGCGGGGGCGTCAGCACGACACCAGGGCGACGTGGCCCTTGGGCTCTCTCCGCAGTCAGGGGTCAGCCGGCCTGAGCCGGAGACAGAAACTAATTGGGCTGGGGCCTGACTGAGCTGCCTCCACATGGCGCCGGGGGCACCCCAGACCTCCGCTCAGCTAGTGCCCGGTGATCTTAAGTGATCTGCTTGCAGGCCCACCGCTGCCCAGCTTTGTGTCCCTTGCCAGGCAGCCCGTGTCTCTTGAGAACTTCCCGTCGCCTCCTCCTGCTTCTGCCCCTGGCCAGGGGCCAGGCGAGCTGGGTTCGTATGGAAGCTGCTATGGGAACCGAGCTCGCCTGGGGTTTACAGCCAGAATGCTTCATTTTCATAGGCTGAACTGAACATGTAGCTGATGGCTGCCAGAGGCAGGAGATTTACCAGCCCTGGCCTGTAATCAGTCAATCCGTTCATGGAGCAGTTACCCAGAGCTACTAGTGAATGAGCAGGTAGACTCATGGAGAGGAGCAGCCCCCAAATGCAGAAAGGATTCTGAAGCACTTTTGCCGTTAGTCCAGGAATACAGGGCAGATTACAAACCACATGAATTCTAACTCTGTGGGTGATAGGTGGGGAGCAGAGTGCATGGGCCTTTTCCATTCCAAGTGTTGCTTGTCTTTTTAATGGGAATCAATAATTTGATGTAATAGCATGTCACCCCCTCAGCACTGGTGACAATAGACCTGCAGTATTCCACAAGGCTTTAAGAAATAACACAAGAGCATTCGAGTGCCTTATTTCATATTCTGCCACTAGACGGAGACACATGAACAAAATATTGTTTGATTTAGAGATCTTGATCAAATCATTTGAGGCAGGTTTTCAATTAGCTTTTAGTTGTAAAGGCAGTATGTAAACAGGCTACTTTATTTCAGTGATCTTCTCATGACTCATTCAGAGGTGATAAAACTAGCCTTTTAATTATCCTTAACTACTGGTATTGTGATTATTAAATAATTATACTTAATTATAATGTGTTGGGGCCAAATCTTGAAGTGTTTAGGCAGAACCTATAGTGACTTCAAGTGAAGTTCTGCCCGAGTAAGGACTGCTGGATAAAGCCTTTAATTTTCAAAGTGCTTTACAAACATTATTTAATATTCACAAACTACAGCACTCCTATGACACAGGGTTAGTACTATTATCCTCTTTTATGGATGGGGAAACTGAGGAAGAGAAGTGACATACCCTAGAGAGCCCTCCTGAGAGCAGAGACTAGATCTCTGGAGCTCCTGTTTGTTAGTCCTCAAACCCCATCTCTTGCTTTAGACCCCAATCCTGCACAGATTTATTTGCATGCTTAATTTTATGCACTGTGAGTAATTTTGTTGAGTTACTGACACTATGTAAAGGTAAGCATGGATTTAAGTCTTTGCAGAATTGGGCCCTATAAATTGGAGCTTTTGGATGCATCAGGAAGTTTGGGAATGTTTACATATGATCATAGGTTAAGGACTTGGACTAATGATCTTAATTGAGATCTAACAATCTCTATAATGTTTCTTCTTTAAGGGTTGTTCCCCTTCACCAATATTACAAGAAACAGGTAGGGACTCACTGAAATTAACCAGAAGCAAATTTATTGGATCCCACTTTACTTTTCACTTTGTCTCATTCTTTATCTCTCATTTTCATGTGTTCTTTGATGCAATATCCATGCTTGTAACTCCTTCCCAATCCCCCTGCACAAGGCAACTGTTCTCTCTGCCACTCTGTATTGACTTCTGTGAGATCCACAACATCGATCCATTTCAGTTAAAGGCTCTTTTTATTTTAGTAATGCTTAATAAGATGGAG